ATATATGTAAAAATTAATTGTTGAAACATTTTTACCATAATGGTTATGCTAGTCGCATTAATGTGTGGGTTGGAAGAGATTACTCTACTCTAAGATTTATCAAGTGGACCAAACTGGGGTATTTTTTTAACTCAGGTAATGAAAAAAAATAGAAGATGAAAATATGAAGTTCCTTGAAGGTAGCAGACGACAATGAAACAAAGAAGCAAATATGTTATTGAACACATTTAAAATGTTGAAAAAAAAAAAATATATATATATATATATATATATATATATATATATATATATATATATATATATATACTTTTATTTATTTATTTTACATATAGATAGATAGATAGATAGATAGATAGATAGATTTAATAAATCCTACGTATTTAAATACCCACGCTGCTAAAAAATTCATAGGAAATTGTAGAAAAAGAATCTCTCTATCGTGGTCACATTCCAGACGCTAACTCCTTCTTCTTTACCACTTACAACTCACTGGTAATTAAAAACAGCTTGGGTGGCATCAGGGCAAAAAAAAAAATTTAAAAATTAAAAAAATAAACCGATTCAATCCAGACCTCTTCCCGACACTCAGAATCAATAAGTCTCTTTTCAAAACCACAGATTACGTCACTATTCTGCGTAATGTAACTGCATTATGATGCCGTCATGAGTTTCACTGAATAAAATTAACAATAGGTTTAGTCTGTAAAAAAGAATAAAGAGACAAATTCAGTGATAACAATAAAGAGAAAATGTTATCGATAGTTATAACAGAAGCGATGTGCCATTTGTTGTGCTAATAGACAATAGAATGTGAAACTTAAATAGAGACAAAACGTATTTTAGAATTCATCGGAAGTCGTATTCTATGGGAAGGGAGATAGTCAGATAAGTTCATATAACAACATGGCAGCCGCGTTTTATTCCTCACAAGGAACTAGAAACGATGGCCACTTGGTGGAATTTTTGAAAATATAGTCAATTTATTTTAATGCAAATCAAGAGAAAATCTCAATAAAGAAACATAATTGCACAAACAAACAGATATACATCAATGTAGATGCACATATATATCAACGTGATATGGCCGTAATATATATATATATATATATATATATAGCATAATGAGAAGCCACGTATACTTTCTTAATATGTATATATAGAAAAAGTTTCAAATTAAAAATTATAATGTTTTATTTTATGAAAGTATTTATTTATTTATATATATATTTTTTATTTCAAATTGTCCTCAATTTTCATCAGTTTAACTGTTTGGGAAAATAAATTAAAATTACTGTTTGTTGTAAGGAGCGTCCTTCGCAGAAAACTGACGTCATGTTTATGGAACGTCAGATTCAGATTTCTAACTTCCAATCTTCACTATCAGAAAAAAAGAAAAATATTTTTTTAAATCTAAATAAACATAAATTAGGGTTGAAATATTTATAAAGGTTTTTAAAACACCTAAATATTTCAATAGTTAATTTATTGTATATTAAAAAATTTTTTTTTAAATATTTATGACAGTTAGATTTAGAGGAATTTCTGAACAGTGACGTTCCATAAAACGTGACGTCCGTCTCATTTTCTAGGACGCTAATGTGCCAATTGACAGTAATTTTTATTTATTTGTAATAAACAGTTATTTTGATGAAAATTGAGGACAATTTGAAATATCAAATATATATATAAATAAATAAATACTTTCATAAAAATAAAACATTATAATTTTTAATTTGAAACTTTTTCTATATATATATATATATATATATATATATATATATATATATATTGTTTTAAGGTATATTCATGGGTTAAAGTGATCAATATCAGAGATAGAACTTATGTAAATATAAAAAAACACATTGAAGTCAGCATCCAGAGGCAACAGTATGTTTCATGGTAAACTTTTCAGGCCATGACAATTGTGTTTAGCATGAAACACACTGTTACTTTAATTTTCACACATATATAATCATCCAGAGACAGCCTGTTTTGCTGTAACACAGCTCATCAGTATGGCTAGACATCTGATTGCTTCAGGCTCTGATTGAAACTCGATTTGACATCAGTCAGAGAATCTTACCCCTAGGCTATTGGTGCACAGCAGAGAAAAGGAATTTTTTAATGCATTATATACATACTATATAAATGTTGTACAGGCCATATATATATATATATATATATATATATATATATATATATATATATATATATATATTGATGCATGTTTTATTAAATAATATAGACAAGTGTTGTCTATTTATTTTAGGTATATTCTTTTATATCGTCTGATAAGCTTGATAACATTATCATTAAACGAAGAAAGTAAATCACAATATTATACATATTTTTTAATCCTAACTAAGCTTTCGGCTTACATAAGCCATTATCAAAGATGACATTTACATTAAAATATATTAAGCAATACACGGACAAGACAGTGAGGATAGTCTGTTTCTGTTTAAATAGAAGATTTTCAAGCAACGACAAACTCGTGCATATAAGACGCTGGAAGTGAAAATCGCACCGCAGCTCATGACGTCACACATGACCTTAGTTGGTCCGGGGTATATATATATATATATATATATATATATATATATATATATCAGGAGGTCAGTTGAATCCGCTACCTTCTTTACAAAAATAAAAAAAGCACGATGTTGTGTGTAAAATGTATTTGTATTCAAGCTCATCAGTGTGGTTAGATGTTCGGTTGCCTCTAGCTAGAATCGAAACCTGGCTGAATTGGCGTCAGTCGGAGAATCTACCCCTAAGCAGTTGCCGCACGGTAGGGATGAAAATTAATTTAAGCGTATTTATTTTCAGATAAACATGCCAGTCACTGAGAGAACTCATTTTTTTTTATCGAAGAGTATTGCATTAGTAGCATTAATAGTCACTGTTTACAAACTCACATTTTCTCTCCAGAGAGCTCAACCAAAATAATTTTTCAGGAACATATATATTGTCATCCACAGACTGTTTCGCTGTATCACAGTTCATCAGTGTGGCTAAACGTCCGGTTGCCTCTAGCTAGGGTCGAAACCAGGCTGAATTGGCGTCAGTCGGAGAATCTACCCCTAACCCGAAAGGGATGAAGGTGAATTTAAGCGTACTTACTTTTAAATAAACACGATATATATATATATATATATATATATATACATATATATATATATATATATATATATATATATGTAAAAGAACGAAGAGTAAGATTTCAGCGCTGAAAATATTAATTTAAAAAATGAGAGCAATAAATATGTATTTATTATGCAGTGTTACATTAGAACATGCATATACCCACTACAAAACTGTACATCTTGATTCAACGTTAAATTTTTTTAAGGTGGGTAATCACGATGCTACTCAAACGTTTCAGACGTTAAAAAAAAATTAACGTTGAAACACGTTGTACAGTTTTGTAGTGGGTATACGCATGTTCTAATATAACACTGGATAATATATATATATATATATATCATTTAGGCGTATTTAATTTAGATAAACACGACACAACACACACACACACATATATATATATATGTGTGTGTGTGTGTGTGTATTTATGTGTGTTATATTTAATACAACCAACACATACTCGTTTTGTTATATTATACGAATTTTTAGCACTGAATGAACTCTACAAGTATAATTCGATTGTGATTTTAAGTAAAATATGCACAAGAAAAATCAATATGAACTGAAGCGTGTATTTAAGTGGAAGAAATTAAAAAAGAAATCTATTATAACTGGCGGTATTATTATTTGTATTTCAACTTGAAGATTTGTAGACGCGGATCCGCTCATCAGGGGGAAATAAATCGAATTTAATTTATTAACAGGTATGCATACATCACAGACACACATGCACACACATATTATTTTCAATAAGTATACTTCACATTATCTGTTTTATATATCTATGTTTTTTTAATATTTAAGTGAGCCTCATAAATATTCATAAGTCTAACGGAAAAGTCTACTTAAATTATGGAAGCTGCTAAGTGACGTAATTTAATGTCTAATAAACAAAAGTGAGTAAATGTTGCTGATGGTTTTTTTTATATAAATTAAGATTTTTATCATTTTAGTTTGTGAT